ATCTATAACCTTAGAGGTGTTGCTTTGAAGAGCTGGCACACACCACATATAAGCTGTCTCACACAGCCTGGCCTAGGTGCTCCGCAGGGGTCCCAGGTGAAACCCCCAGACCGTGGCCAAACTCACACAGAAACGGGCTTCTCACTGGCTGAAGCTTCAGTGTACAGGTTTTCTCCCAAAGCCCTGACCAACACTGAGCTCCAATAAGAACAGACGAGTTTGAGAGTGTCCTAAAGTGAAAACAGCTAGTGGGGAAAAATTCACATTGCCAGGATGCAGACGTCATCGTGCGCCTTAGGGAGGCAGAGTGTGACACCTGGTTAACAGATCTGCCTGTCATTACAAAATGCAATCAACATGCTATCAACTCCCAAAATAACTATGCTTTTCTGTTTTGTTTGCAACTACTTTTCATGATGGGTTGGTCCCAGTTACACCTGAAAATGAAAATCTCAGCCCAAGAATCCTGTCCTTCCTTGTGCAATTCCCATGTAATGAAGTGAAGCCCAAGTAGCCAACACAGAGATAGTGATGGTCGGCACGCTCTAACCCCTCGCCACCTTGCTGGAGAGACTATTCTCTAACAGGATCTGCAAAAACTGTGCATGCTTGTTGCGCTCCAATCTGAGACTGTGTGGGAATTCACAGTCTACTTCTCCCGTTTCCTCCCCTCTGCTGTATATGCATATCCAGGTCGTAAAAATGGGGTTTGACGACACTGCCACTACATTCAGCTGGTCAGAACAAAATGGATGGTCCAGCTGCCACTGGGCCTCCACCCGCTTATAGCATATTCATGCCTGTGAGTGCATGGTTCTGGTTGACTTGGATCAGTGCTGCCATCTGTTGGAACATATCATTATGCAGCTTCTGCTGGTTTCAAGAATTTCTGTTCCTTGGCTGAAAATCAGTTGTGGATTTTACATTTTAAAAAGAAACAGTTAATAAATGCAGAAAAAAAATTTAAACTAGGGAGCAAAGTGTGAGACGTGAAAAATCAGCAGCAGCAAAGCAGAATGTATGTTCTCTCTTCCTCAGTGTCATTTACCAGTGCTGATATGTACAGTGGACCAATCATTACTGACAGCTACTGATATGATGTGGGTTCCACCTCCCAGTGTGCTACTGGGGACTGTTCTCAGATCAGGCTGGGACCCGATATCCATACCATTTCTGTCCTACTGCGTAACAGAAGGAACTGTGCATGATTAGCCAACACAGTGAACAGCTCCAATATGAGACACATCTCTTCTCAACAGTTTCAATCAGCTTCAGAGCCTCTGACCAGCACCATACAGCTAGATTTACTTAATGTCCAGTCGCTTTGTAACAAGGCATTTTTAACGAATGATTTTATTAGTGTTTTTTAACCGAAACATGGTTAGATCAGAACTGCAGCCTAACAACCCCAATTGAATCAGTGCTCCCAAATTATAATTTTCAAATCGGAGATTTCAATTCTTTTGAATATCTCAGTATTGTGTTGAAAGCTTCACCACAGTGAGCAGTTACTGTTGCCTATAGGTCTCCTAAATACTCTGCCACTTTTATGGATGACTTCTCAGTTACTGTCTAATATCTCCACTGAATGTGACTGCTTGGCCATTGCTGGTGATTTCAATATCCATACTGACAATGCTAGCGATAGAGCTGACAAAGAACTGTTTGCGGTGTTCGACTTGTTTGACGTGGTACAGCATGTAAGCCCATTCTCATGGGCATACGCTGGACTTGGACGTTACGGAGGGTATTAGGATTCATACCATTAATGACAAGGATTTAACTGTGTCTGTCCACTTCTGTGTTTCCTTTGAAATACCAGCTTGTCCAGTTATTCAGACCGGATCTATTCATGTGAAAAAAGGTGCATAAAGGAGAACACTGTTTATGGGTGCATTAATGAAGTCACCTCATCTAAATGCTGATACAATTTAACGCTGAAGTTCTACATGTAATTGACAAATTAGCTCCTATAAAGGTTATAGCAGCTGCAGGTTTATCACAAAAGCACGAATGCAGGAAAGCAGAACGCAAATGGAGAAAAAGCCAAATCCAGATACATTATGACGTCCACAAAGAGAAACTTAAACTCAAGTCAGCAAGGCTAGAGGATCTTATTTCTCTGGCATCATTAATCATAACATCAACACCTCCCGCACGCTATTCATTATTGTTGACAAACTTACCAATCACAGGATCAGGTGCCTCCTGGATTCTTCTTAGCATAAGGGTGCAATGAATTTACAAAATTAGACTAGTAATCACTTCCAATAACCTAAACTGTGCCTTTGATTCACCCATTAGAATAAGTAGGATCACTCTATCAAAATTTGATGAAATCGATGACACAACTGCAGAGAACCTGGTGCTAAGCTTAAAATCCTCCATTTGCTCACTCAGTGTTTTACCCACAACATTTTTAAAAGATGTTCTTAGCTGTGTGAAACATGATTTATATAAAAAAAAACACTTTACACTTTACTCACTGGGATTTTCATTAAACCCCTCGTTAACTGTTATTTGATTTTATTTTATGTAGAGCACTCTGAATGACCTCTGTCTTTGAAAATGTGCTATATAAATACATTTGCATTTGATGCTTGGCATTTTTATTTTTTTGATTACACTCACAGATTTTTATAAAATTCAAGGTCAAATGTATGACAACGCAGGCAATGTGTGTGTATGTTTATGTGAGTGGGGGGACATATATTACATTGTGGGGACCAAACCCTTACATTTTGATAAAAACCTGTTGTTTTGACCTTGGTTTTCATGCCATTACAGGCATACCTGGAATATTGTAGGGGCAGTGCATGGTCAGAAAAAAAGTACCAATTTGTACCTTTGAGGGTACAATTACCTGTCATTGGGGCTGTACCCTCAAGTGTCTGCCAGTTGTACCCTAGCTGTAGAAAAAATGTACCTTTTAGTCTAATTTAAGGTACAGAAATGGACCGTGATAAACATTATTGTTGTTTGTACCTTGGCGAACAAATTTGTACCGTGGCTGCACCCTTTTTCTGACAGTGGGTGGAACGTTGAAATTTATTCATACTCCAAGCTTCTTGAATCCCATCTGCACCTGTCAAAAAAGGTTCTTGGCACTTGGTAAAAATGGTGATAAGCAACAGCATTCCAGAATTAATATGTCAACATAGCCTTCCCGGAAAGACGTTTGACTTGAAATGTAACATACTGACACATACACATGAAGAAGTTAGTGTGTGGATTTTGTGTGTATATGCCTTTACATGTAATTGGTCAGGAACATTCAAATGCCACATACAACTAGCATTAATATCGGATCGTGAAAAAATGCCATATGAATGTTCAAGTGTATGGGCTCATAGTATTTTATTGCTAACCTGTATCTGAATAATATACCAGTAGATGCAATAAACAGAAAATGAGTTCAACTTCCAATCATTTATCTTGGTCAGAGGGGGCTGGAAACTACCTCAGGCATCATAAAACACAATGTTGGGGTACCCCTTGAATGGGATTACAGTCCATATAAATGCACAATCATACAATAAATCATGCAATTTAAAAACAATAATAAGCCTAACAATGTTTTGGACAGTGGGAGTAAACCCATGGAACACAGAGGGAATGCTTAAACTTTGCACAAACTTAAGAACATAAGAAATTTACAAACGAGAGGTGGCCATTCGGCCCATCAAGCTCGTTTGGGGAGAACTTAACTAATAGCTCAGAGTTGTTAAAATCTTATCTAGCTCTGATTTAAAGGAACCCAGGCTTTTAGCTTCCGCTACACTAGCAGGAAGACTATTCCATACTCTAACTACACGCTGTGTAAAGAAGTGCTTCCTAAAATTTGTTTTAAAATGTTCTCCCTTGCTCTCCTTTGACACATATACAGGTAAGAATGAAGCTTGGAGTCAGAGTGCAGGGTCAGTCCTTTATCTGGCATCCATGCAGGCAAATGTTTTGGGGGTTATGGACCTTGCCCAGCGGTCCAATGGCGATGTAACTCCTCTGCTTAAAATCATAATTTGACTGTAAAATTAATGGTGTCTGTCATGGGCATCGTCAGGTCCGATCACTCGGGGCTATAGCCCCGATGCCAATCTTCCTTCAAATGAATATATTAATAAAAAAGTCAAGCCCCAGGTAAACTTGACTTAGCCCTTGATCTCAATACCTAGAAACGCCCCTGCTGTCTGAGCTGTTTAACGCTGTATAATCGTCGAACATATAGTGATAAAAAAGACAATTTGAGGAAAATTGCTGAATTGATGCTTGATGCTGACGATACATAACATAGCTTTAAATTCAACTGTACTCTACTAACAAGACAAAACTACATTCAGTACATCCGTATTATATTTACAATGTGTGTTCTGAAAGGAAAATTATTTAGCGATAAAATATTGAAATAAAAGAATTCTTGGAGATCCACACAATTCTGTATATCAAAACCGTCGAGATTAAAGTCACTAATTCAGGGAAAAATAATTGATTTAAAAAATGAAGACAGTTATAAAATCAGATACAGATACAAGGCATATTCACTTTCTTAGCGAGGTAACAAGATCTCACGTGTAACATCAACATATGTATAAACCACCATTATAACAATAAACCACCATTTATTATGCGTTACTAGACTTGGACATCGTGATCTAGCCGGTACATCTGTTATTTTTATGTTGGCTGTATTTGATCTTATGTATCATATGCACCTCTTATACCTTGTTGTTATACAAAGTACATACAAATAATGTCCATATGAACGTAGCACAGATTTTCCTGCAAAATAGTGTGAAATGTTGTAAACGAAGGGCAGTATTTCTGTCACGCTAGCTTGAGGGTTAACTTACTTGCTCGCATATGATTGGGCTACCATGAGTTAGCAGCCAATTGTTGCCGAAAAATGGGCGTGGATCATGACGTCAGCACACTCTGCCATGTTCGAATCAGCGGCAGCCAGCTTGCTTCATCCAGCCAATCCGTACCCTCCAACGAGCTACTGTCTGGCCAATAAAGTGCATCCACGATAGGAAAGCTAAGAACGATATATAGAGACGACGCCGAATTGCAGTTCATTCGGTTTGTAGAAAAAGTCAGTTTAGTGTTTTGTGGCGTTTTTTTTGGCTTGTACGCGTGCGTGAATCATATTTTTACATTTTAAGGTATGTATATGCTTTAAGACTTCAACATTCTTGGATTTCTTTAAAATATGAAGCCATTATGTCTGTATGATTTGGTGTTGTTTTAGGTTGTACTAGTTTCGAATCTTCTATGCTTAGAGTGAATTTTGTTTGCAGTAAGTCTATTTATCTCTATAAGAAATGTCAAGCTTACCTTAAGAGTAAAGATGTTGTTTTTATTTAATATTTGTCTATGAAGATAGTATTTGAGGTATCTACGGTGAACATTTTAAGATGACTGTTAGAGACTGGCGCATTGATGAAATACAATAAAATAATAGTGATGGGTAGCTGAATTAGCTCAAGTAAAGACCTTCTACTATAAGCATCATGCATTAGACTTAATTTTAAGCTATTTCGCTGTCACTCGCCGATCAGCAATTGTCTTTCTTTGCCTTCAGAATTACCCACCGATTACCCTATAAATTAATTCAGATATTCATATAGTAAGTTGTCCGTCGGGCAAGGTCCACTTCCTGTGATATATATATATATATATATATATATATTTTTTTTGTTTCATTTTTTGTAAAGAAGGGAGGCAGCTACATTGGAGTAGAAAGCTTTTTTTTATAAGCACAGGAGGCTTCTGACCCGCAGGCTATTCTGTTAGCTGACAGAGGATGATGCTCTGCCATGAAGTATGTCAAGCTCTCTATTATTCGCCCCCTATCTTGTACGCGTTCATTTGTACCGTCTCATATTGGCACCGGCTGGTTCAGTTCACCGGGACCTTCTGGAAGCTTCGTTAGTCTGCCATCTCGAGCCGGTGACGCGTGTTCCTCTTCCGGTCTGTATGCTAATCGGTGGGAAAAGCGCACACACTTTGTACATGTCAGCCTGCTACTGGTCGTCTCGTATATAAATTAGTGAAAAGTAGATGGTGACACTGAACGTCCTCCATTTTGGAACTCCCGCTCCCAGCAGGTCACGTGACTGAACCGCGCTTGAAGGATGAAGATCGCGTGTATGCTGCTCCTCATCATCGGCGCCGTTTTCGCCGCCGACGACGATGACAAGAGAGAGAATGTGGGGACAGTGGTCGGAATCGACTTGGGCACAACATATTCCTGGTGAGCATTACAACATTATTAAATGCAATTCTGTGTAGTGAGATGAACTGCATTTGAAATTTCAGGGATGGTTACTTGAGCTTTTTTTTTTAAAGATCATTGCTTAAGCTAATAGATTAATTTATATGCTAATTTTATTTCCCCTTCAGTGTTGGTGTCTTCAAGAACGGTCGTGTGGAAATCATAGCCAATGACCAGGGTAACCGTATCACACCATCCTATGTGGCTTTCACTTCCGAGGGTGAACGGCTCATTGGGGACGCTGCCAAGAACCAGTTAACATCCAACCCCGAAAACACTGTTTTTGATGCCAAACGGCTGATTGGACGCACATGGAATGATCCGTCTGTGCAGCAGGATCTCAAGTATCTACCTTTCAAGGTTAGTCGCCGAACCAGTGAATTTGTACATTTCTGCTTTTGTTGGTCCTATAATAACCCAGTGATGTGCTGGACAGAACAATGGTAATACTAAATGCTCTTTAAAATTTATTTAGGTTATTGAGAAGAAGAGCAAGCCCCATATTCAAGTTGATATTGGTGGCCAAATGAAGACCTTTGCTCCAGAAGAGATCTCTGCCATGGTACTCACAAAGATGAAGGAGACCGCTGAGGCCTACTTAGGAAAGAAGGTATGAATCTGTATCCAGTGCTTGCATATTTTGCTAATGAGAATATAAACCCAAATGTGCATGTTGAGTTTGAGATCCTAATTGAATTTCTGTCCCCTAGGTCACGCATGCAGTAGTTACTGTTCCTGCCTACTTCAATGATGCTCAGCGCCAGGCCACCAAGGATGCTGGCACTATTGCTGGACTGAATGTGATGAGGATCATCAATGAGCCGTAAGTTATCAAAGCTTTGGGTTTCACAGTGGATAGCCAGAGCTTCTCTTTCCTGTTTGGAGTGGAGAACTGGAGTCTTATTGGCTTGTCTCTCTCCTGCAGAACTGCTGCCGCTATTGCCTATGGCCTGGACAAGAAAGATGGGGAGAAGAACATCCTGGTCTTTGACCTTGGTGGTGGTACCTTTGATGTGTCCCTGCTCACCATTGACAATGGTGTCTTTGAGGTTGTGGCTACCAATGGTGACACTCATCTGGGTGGTGAAGACTTTGACCAGCGTGTCATGGAGCATTTCATAAAGCTGTACAAGAAGAAAACCGGCAAAGATGTGCGCAAGGACAATCGTGCTGTGCAGAAGCTTCGTCGTGAGGTGGAGAAGGCTAAACGTGCACTCTCAGCTCAGCACCAGGCTCGTATTGAGATTGAGTCCTTCTTTGAAGGTGAAGATTTCTCAGAGACACTCACTCGTGCAAAGTTTGAGGAACTGAACATGGTAAATTCTTATTTTGTTTTATGGCAATCATTTACCACAAGTTAAAATCATTGTAGACTTTCACCTTTCAACCCTGGTACTCACATCTTTGCCCCCCACCCCTCCCCCTTAGGATCTCTTCCGCTCCACCATGAAGCCTGTGCAGAAAGTCTTGGAGGATTCTGACCTGAAGAAGCCTGACATTGATGAAATTGTGTTGGTGGGTGGCTCAACTCGTATCCCCAAGATTCAACAGTTGGTGAAAGAATTCTTCGGTGGAAAGGAGCCGTCTAGGGGCATCAACCCTGATGAAGCTGTAGCTTATGGTGCAGCTGTACAGGCTGGAGTGCTCTCTGGAGAAGAAGACACTGGTAAATACAGCTGGTTTTAAACTGGTACTAAAAACCCTCACTTTCTAGAGAAGTTTTAATTTTCTGTCTGGCGTGATTACAACTGCAGTGCAACTTTTCCATCTTAGGTGACCTGGTTCTGCTGGATGTTTGCCCTCTGACTCTTGGCATTGAGACTGTGGGAGGTGTTATGACTAAGCTGATCCCAAGAAACACAGTGGTGCCCACTAAGAAGTCCCAGATCTTTTCCACTGCCTCTGACAACCAGCCAACTGTTACAATTAAGGTCTATGAAGGTATGTGTTCCTGTTTGCTACTATGGCCTTTTATCTTATCTTAAGGTTGTCAAAATGAAATGACCCTTACTCTAGCTTCAGTCCCATAATTTTTCAGGGCCATTCATAGGTCTTTAATGTCCTCCCCCTTTCCTCTTACAGGTGAGCGTCCCCTAACCAAGGACAATCACCTCCTGGGTACCTTTGACCTAACTGGAATCCCTCCCGCACCCCGTGGTGTCCCTCAAATCGAGGTGACATTTGAGATTGATGTCAATGGTATCTTGCGTGTCACTGCTGAGGACAAGGGAACCGGCAACAAGAACAAGATTACCATCACTAACGACCAGAACCGCCTCACGCCTGAAGACATTGAACGCATGGTGAATGATGCAGAGCGCTTTGCCGACGAAGACAAGAAACTCAAGGAGCGCATTGATGCCCGCAACGAGCTGGAGAGCTATGCCTACTCACTGAAGAACCAAGTGGGTGACAAGGAGAAGCTGGGTGGCAAGCTGTCTGCAGAGGACAAGGAGACCATAGAGAAAGCAGTAGAGGAGAAGATTGAGTGGCTTGAGTCCCACCAAGATTCTGACACTGAAGAGTTTCAAGCAAAGAAGAAGGAGCTGGAGGAGGTGGTGCAGCCCATTGTGAGCAAGCTGTATGGCAGTGCAGGTGGGCCCCCACCTGAGGGAGGATTCGATGAGCAAGCTGAAAAGGAGGAGTTGTAATATTGCTTCACCACTGATTGCCAGGCTTCTTGGTCCTCCTGAAGTCTTGCTTTAGTGGTCGCCGGTGTAAATACTGGAATAAAATGAACTGCGAAGTGGGGAAAACACCAAACCCCAAATCTACAAGAAAGACTGAAGGAAGGGAAAAACGAAATGAATGTTGTATTCTTCACGGAAAGTGGAGATTTAAGTTGGCCTTGATTCAGGCTTACTTCTGCTGTTCTCAGGCAGTTTAGGGGTGTATTGTCTTTTTTTGGGGGGGGTTGGATGGGGTGGGATTTGGAGCGAATGACAGGATAATGGGCACATGCTGTTCAATATTAAATGTTCAAAGTTATTTATTTGATCTGGTCATTCTCGCCAATTGGCAGGAACCTTTCAAAGGGTTTCACGTTAGAAATAAATGTTTGATACAAACACCCTGACTTGAACTTCATTGTGGTGATGGATGTCAGTGGTAACGCAGTATCCAATAGCACTGGTTAATGTGTAATGCAATGCACTCCACCTACCCCACATTGTACACTGAGTCATAACATTCCCATTTTTATATTAATAAAGTTGGAAAAATACAAAAACCTCCTTGACATCTCGTACCTTCATGTTTGTAGTTGCTACTGATTAGACTTTAATGGTAGTTTAAAGAGAGCATCATGTTTAATACATAGAAATGTTCACTATAACAGGAATGGGAGCCACAGCTTTTTCTTACAGTGCCTGTAAATTTGGATCTTTTGTAAGGAATTGGTATGTATTCCTGGGATTCCTTCCATGTTTGGAAGGAAAGGCTTTTCACTTCATTCTTGGGCAAATGCATATGCAAATATACTACTGCATTGCTATTTGGCACGCCTGGGCAAGTATTTTCTGTGGAGCTTCAAATCTGACCTTCATCTCAACAGCAGCCATTTCTAATACTTTCATGTCCCTATAAAGCTACAAAAAAGGTTAGTTTTGCTGTACATTCAAAAAACTATTTGCAGGCCAAATTCTGTTCATCTTCATAGACAAACTATCAATTTTGTTATTTTGAAGATTGCATGAGCCAGTGAAATACCTGTGGGCTTGGTATGTATACATCCCACCTTACGCTTATTGATTTGAGGAAGGTGGATGACGGATAATCGCATGTGGGCTTTTTCCTGTCATCCGAAGGTTACTGGTTTAAGTGTCATGGCTGGCTGGCAGAGTGGTGTCACTGTCGGGTTCTTAAACAAGGCCCAATTCCTCCAACTGGTAGAACAGGCTGACCCTAAATAAATAAAACCAATAGTTAAATCTTAACATTGTAATGCAGACATAATTATTGTGATTAGAAGATTGCCAATTGTGAAAAAGGATAAAAACCAACATTCAGAAAATAGATGGATGGAAGGATGGATTGTGTCACTGAATCTGTGAATTTCTGCCATCCACAGCATTACATATCCTTAACTGCAGGGTGGAACCTTACGAAATACTCCTGCTGAATGTTGTTCTGTTGCTACTCTTTTGTTTGCCCCTATTGTAGAGAGTTTGAATGGCTTTTGCACAAGAAAGGACACTCATTTTGCATAATTGTCCCCACCATATGACATGTATGTTAAGTACTTGCTGAAATGACTGCCAGGGATTAAGAGAAGAAAGCTGTCATTGTTTTTCCATGTCTCACTTAGTTTCTCGCAACATAGTGCACAACATAGTATACAACATAGTGCACACATCTTACATAGTACACTTTTTATTGCCTTTAGCCAATTGCTGTACTTAAAATAGTGTTCAGAAAACAGTTCTGATGGAAGATGAGTGAGGTTTAATTTTTAACCTTTTCCAGTTATAGAGTAATGATTTCTATTACATAGCTAGTATTTTTGGTTTCTCTACATCAAGACTGTCAAACTGCAGTCCAGGAGGGCTGGAGCCCTGTGTAGCTTAGTTCTTTCCCTGTTCCACCATAAATGATTTAGCTTATGAGCTGTGTGGTAATTAGCACAATGAGTTGAATCAGGTGTGTTAAACGAGGGCAAACCAAAAACTGTGCAGGGTTCTGGCCCCCCAGGACTGGAGTTTGACAGCCCTGCTATACATGAACCAGATGGACTACATCAAAACTGAATATGATCTCCAGCTTGAAAATAACTTAGTTGTTCGCCTCACCTTGAAATTCTGTCAGCCCATTAGCAAACTGCCCTCCTCATTGACACATTGTTTCTTGGATTCATGTGTATTCAAGCACAGACATCCCAGTCTGCTCCCATCAAAGGAAGGGTTGCCAATTTTGGTCAGCTGGTAGATTTTCAATTCGAGACAATTAGTCTGCACACACATTTTCATGTAGGTAGGAGTTTTATAACCTTATTAACAGTCTGTATGATTTGCAAACTGCCCAACGATTTTGATGTAGCTAACATCGGGTTTATAATGGAATAATATCGATCTGCTGCAAGATTTCTTGTATGGCGGTGATTCTGAAAGCGTGAGAGTCCCGCCAGATGCGTGAGAGTTGGCAAACCTGTAAAAGAACTAGGCAGAGAAGCTGGAGGCATTGTTTAATCCACAACTGAGATCCTCTTCTTTTTCCTATCGTTTAATATTTCACTTTTGAGCAATTATATTTTACCTTATAATGAAAAAAATATTTAGACGATTGTCTACTTTACAAGGGAAAAAAACACGTTGTTACATGTTTTTTTTTTTCTAACAAATGCACATCGAGCGTATCACTGTTTCCATTTTTGGGAAAAGTCCCAGCGCTTACAGTAAGGAGCGCAGGCTGAGTTTGAAACGCAGCCCACGGATTGGACGCCTCGGGTTCCTCGTGGTCCCGCCCCCCAGGCAGGGGAGCGTCATCCGCGCGGCGCTTTTGAATTCCCGACACGGGCCAAGACAGAGAGTGGAGTCAGATAAAATTCATCCACAGAAATATGGAAAACGTAAAACAACGCAGGGGTCTTCAATCGGGCAACCGGAAGAGGTACAGTAAATCATCTTATCGATTGTTTTTCGAGGGAAATCCCACGTTTGGGTGCGGGGTGTTTTTTCCACATATTAGAACTGTTAGCTGTTTTGAAAAATGAAATGGGCGTTATACGACGATACAGTCATACACCAAACATTGAAGCTTTATCTCGGTTTGCGGCAGCTGCCATCATTCAAATGTGTAACATGTGTGGTTTTATTATGCTGGTTTAATCTGGTTTGGTGAGGAACTACTAATTCTGTATTATTTCGTATTTTTACTGAAATGGATTAAAAAGATTTTTCGGTGGGATATAAATTAAAACATGCACATATAGGTGTGTATCTTCTTACAGTTAACGGGAAGTTTAGAAAGAGGTTTTACATACCACTTAGTTTTCCTAGAATAGCCTATGTAATCATTGTAATTTCCTTTTAATTTTTAAAAATCTTTAATCATTTTGAATTATATTCCGCTCTCCCCTTTATGAGATTACTTGAATCCAATTAAAAGGTGAAGGAAATCAAATGTTTGTCGAACGGTAAAAGTTATTATGAAGTTTAATAAACCGTGTTGGTGCCTTTAGATAAATGATTTAATTAAGGTAGATATTAAAGTACCCTTGCTCTTAATCATATATATGCGTGTATTCAGTCTATGTCTTTATTAATCACAGTGCACTTTAATATACGATTTTCGAGTATCGTTAAAAACTGGGCTTGTCAGTAGGTTTGTTCTCCACATAGTGAGTGTATATCTGACCGTTTTCACTGTGGACTTGTAAGATGCAGACATGCCCCTGGGAATTTCATTCAACCCCTGAACAGAATAGAGGGTATATTTATGGGCTCTTTACAAAGGCTGTAGATGCTTTGGGGATCGCAGCCCTGGAATGAGATAGATAAAGAACTCTTTTTGTAGGAGTCATGTAGGACAAGGGGTGTTCAAAAGAATCCTTGTTTTTGGGGATTGATGTATTGATGCATTGACGTAGCGCCTGTGTTTTTGGGATCGTTAGCTAACATATTACTTGCAACTTCATATATGTCGCAGAACTTCTGTGGGTGCTAATATTTGACCCCGAACATTTGCTAATCTTATATCAAAGCTAAAAATCAGGGCCGGTATGCATAAAACTTCCTAAGAATGGTCTTAAGAATGGTTGTACACTTGGACGTAAGAGTAAAAAAAACTTAGCAAAAAGTAGGACCTAAGAGCATTGTATAAAGCTGCTAAAAGTAACTTTCAGCAAAGTCTAAGCCCAATTCCTAAGTGCTGCTGGAGCCAGCATTTAAGGGTCGTGAAATGAGGGCTACAAATAAAATCCCGCCCCAAATACTGAGTTCAACCAATAGAGGAGCTGCACGGTGAATATATTAGTGACGTTAAACCGTTAATGTAGAGCTTACGACATACCTTTTTGTGAGCATACCTTTAATTGGTTGTACGAAAATCTACCTAGCACACCACTAATCAATTTCCACTAATAGATACACATGTAGTATAAATTATGGGTCAAACGCAAAACTCATAGCAAGACATTTAATTCAAAAAGAAAACCAAACTGGACGACAAACAAAACGGTTCTTTTGGCACAGTTGGTGCTTAAATGGAAGGAGGTAGTGCGAGGAAAGCATGCAAGCTCTATAAGCATGCAAGCTACAGGTTTGTGTAATTACTTATATTGCTCTTATGACCCTCGCTATAATAGATAATAATAATAATAATAATAATAATAATAATAATAATAATAATAATTATTATTATTATATTTTTCCAGTTGCCAAAAACGTAGCATCATTATCACCTTCAGTTCAACTGTAAGTGCATTTTTAGGTGACATAGGAGATTGTATCCGGTTCCTAATTAGGTTGGTAACAAAAATAATGCCCTCATGATCGAGCCTGTACCTTTTTATCAATTCATTATTGTCGTACGTCTGCAGTGCGCCCTTTCTTTGACGGAAAGTGCGCGGTCTCCGTCTTCGTGCGCGTAGTGCTGCTGCCATCGTGCAACTCCTAACTGGTTTAAGAGTCCTCTCCAGCTCTCTTAAATAATTTAGGAGCTGAGACCAAGTCTTAACAATTAAGAATGTTTATGCATGCCACTTATTCTTAAGTCTGGGAGTAGGAGCAAAAATCACGTCACTCTTAGAATTGTGACGCATTTAAGAGTGAAATTTTACTCTGAGAAGTTTTATGCATACCGGCCCTGGATTTACATCACCCTGATCACTCCAATAAATATACAACAACTATAGAATAAATGGCCAGTTTTTTATTTTTTATATTACTTCACTTTCATATATACCAGATCAATTAACCACAATGTCTATCTGTGTTTGAAGATTTTGCATTTTTAGAAAACAAAATTCAGTAATTTGACCATGAGCTCTGTGGCACAAAGTCCAGAACGCTGATTGTTTTACTGCATCTTACAGGATGTTCCAATAATATTGTGTATTAAAGAACTAAATAAATCACAATTAACATTCATTTGTAACATTTCTAAAGTTGTGTATCTCCCAAGTTAAAAAAAACCCCAACATAGAAGTTCTGTTGAGTGATACTAAAAGTGCCAGAACTCACTTGTTTTGCACACAGCAATGAAAATGTAGCTGTGTGTTTGTGATGGACTGGTAAGCTGCTCTTCCATGGCCCTCCAGTGATGGGCTCTCCCTGTATGCTTGTGCTGCTATCTACTGCATGCAGATATCAGGTCGGACCGGAGGACCAGGCTGAGCAGCAGGAGGCCGTAGCCAAGAGAGGACGGCGAGAGACGAGCTATGGCAACGGATGGCAGGACGACAAGGAGGCCTGCAGGGCGGCGAGACTGCGCAGGCGGCGAGTGGCAGACACTGCGTGGTATTGGCATGCAGGCGCAGCTTTCATTGTGATCTGTATAGTTTTGTCAAAATACATACTCAGTGACAAAAAAGTTAAGCACCCAGATGGAGTGGTGGAAATGAAATGAGTCTGCATGTGGTGGAAGGTCATGTGACTGTATCGCAATGATTGCAATATCAGATCAAATGAACAGCAGAGTTGGCAGTATGGGCACACTGCTGGTGCCATGTCAGTAGGGTGTGGCACCCCCTCAAGCCTGAATACATGCGGTGGTACAGTGCAGAAGGGAGTCCTACAGCTGCTGTAACTGGCCCTTGAGATCTTTCAGACTGGCACTGGGTCTGAGTTGATGTCCAAGCTGATCCCACACATGTTTGACTGGGGAAAAATCGGGGGACCTGGCTGGCCATGGGAGGACCTCAACATGAAGCAGGCAGTCCATAGACACGCTGTGTGTGAACAGGTATTGTCTTATTGAATGACTGTACCAGGGTTCTGTCTCAGGAGGGGTAAGACATGCGGATACAGGATGTCACTGATGTAGCGCTGTGCCGTTAGGGTCCCCCGAATCACTACCAGAGATGACCTGAAGTCATACCCTATGGCTCCCCACACCATGATGTCATACCCTATGGCTCCCCACACCATGATGT